CCATCATCTTTTACACATAAATAAACTGCCCCTCAGTAGGCTTCCAGAGGATGGCTAATCAATGAAAAGTAGTACAGTAGTGCAGCTTTAAAGCGATAGGAGCTAAAAAAAAAAAAAAAAAAAAGCTGCTGCAGAGGATGAACATGTCAGTCATGCAAAGCTGCCCTAGTGAGAAACATTGGCCCTGATCTTGACTCTAATGTGATTCGATTGATTCATTTTATAGTTTCTGTTTTCCAGGGTCCGGGCTGGGATTGGGACGACAATATCAGGTAACTTACGTCTCTGTGTTTTGTGTTGTCTGTTAATTAAAAAGTTCTAACTGCCTCTCGCAGCTTGTTAGTTCAGCACAGTCTCAAATGCAGTCTTCTTTTCTTCTGCAGTGCTTCCCTCCAGCAGAGCATCAAGCGCGGTGAGTCTTAGTATTCTACTCATTTCTAATCCTGGACTCTACTGCAGTACCTTTGAATGATTGTTACTGAATCAGACACAGTTTTGGTGAAAGCTCGGCACTGTGAAGCAAACGGCTCCGTTGTGTTCAGGCAAACCTCTGGGCTCGTTGACTCGCGGTTTCCTGGAGCTGCTGCTGGCAGCTCCTGACGGCTCCCTGGACATCAGGCAGGTGGCAGCGAACCTGCAGACCTCCGTGCAGCAAGTGCACGCCATCGCCAGGGTCCTGGACGGCATCAGCCTCATCCAGAGAGAGTCGGCCCACAAGATCAAGTGGATGTGAGTCCTGAACGAGAGCATGATGGATGTGTTAGGATCTGCCTCACTATCTTTTTCCATAAATTAAGTTTTTATGTGATTCTAATTTTCCTCCAGTCAAATTTGTGCAGGTTTGTTCTGCAGTGCAGTTTTTGTGTGAGTGCCTCTCACTGATAAACAGCAGGTTTGGAGGGAAGTTAATCATCTTCAGGTTAAATTGCAGGTTAAACGCAGCCTGCAAGGAGACTGTGAGAGCAGCTGAAGATGTTTTTTCCAGTTCGGGTTAGGAGTCGGTAGTTCCTCTTTTAGCATGAACCTTCTCTGTGTGCAGAGGTTGGAGCTCCATCTCCAGCTTCCTGTGGAGGAACCAGCAGAAGTTCCATAGAGAGATTCAGAAGCTGAAGCTGGTGGAGGAAGCGCTGGACGGCTTCATCAGAAGCTGTGCCCAGCAGCTTTTCAGCCTTACGGACAACGTGGAAAACTCTTCATATCCTTCCATGTGGGACTGAGGTCAGAGGTCACCCCTCTCAGAGGCCGTCAGCCTTTCGACAGGCCACCGTCCTCCAGCTCCTCATCCGAGCTCCAAACATGTGCCGAGTCCGGCCCAGGGTCTCCTGTTGAGCCCATTTTCCTGGATTATTATGGTATTTTAAGAAAGTAGTAGGATTAGCATTCTCGATTTCTTTCTTGTTAGCTGAAAGAGTCATCTCCAGAAATATGAAAATAATAATGCAGAGATCCTGGGTTCAGTGAAACTGCAGGAAAAATCTATAATAAGTCTGAGAATCAGTCACATTGCTCAGCATCAGGTATATAAAAGTGCCTTAAGTCTACAGATTTTTGCTCTTTTCTTTAAAGTGAGAAGTTTTCTTTAACCCTTTTTTACGCTTGCCTATGTGACGTTCGAGGACATCAGTCGACTTGGAGTGTACCGGGATCAGACGGCCATCATTGTCAAAGCTCCCGAGGACACTAAGCTGGACGTTCCTGCTCCCACAGAGGTGATGCAGAGTTCAGACGGCCACGTCTCTGCTGCCTCAGTCATTTATAAGTGTGTCTGTGTTTCTTTAGGAGAGCGTTCAACTCTGGCTGAAGGCAGTGAAAGGTCCCATCTTGGTGATGACCTGTGAGGTTGGCTCTGACAATGCTGTGACCTCTGACCCCATGCAGAGGATTACCTCATTTTTAACTCTGAACGAGAGCCGCATCAGGACGACGGAGCTGCACGAAAGTATGAAAAGAAACCCTTGCTTTTTCTTTTGGCTCCGATGTTGAAAAAGAATCTGTCAAAAAATTCCAAATCACCTCTAAAGGTTAATGACTAAACCCCAGCCACCTCTGGTTAAAGTTTCCATGCACATCTGTCCAGAACTTTTTTTTGTCTGCCGTGCGAACAAACAGCAATCGGCCATTTGGCATTAGAGATGGACCGATCCAATATTACGTATCGGTATCGGTCCGATACTGACCTAAATTACTGGATCGGATATCGGAGAAAAATAAAAAATGTAATCCGATCCATTAAATATCACGAAAGCACCTCACAAAACTTGCAACACGCCGTAACTCACCTCGGAACATTAGCACGTCGGAGCAGTATGCATCACGTGATAGAGCGGCTGTGGCATGCTGGACCTGTCGGTGGTCTGGATAGCATTTGGAGCTTCGCTAGCAACCCGGCATTTCATCTCCGACAAAGTTATCCCGAGAGAAGTAAAGCAAGTGTGTAAGTCCATCTCTGAATGTTTGTAAAGCATTCCTGCGTTAAGCTTAACAAGCGACTGCCTCTCCTGCTGCTACTTCAATCATGAAACTGCTTAACGATCAGCTGATCGGCTTTTCTGTCGCGAGTCCGTGTCTCTAGTTTGCTTTTGGCCCATTTTGCACCAGAAAGAGGAAACCAGCGGCTGAACAACAGCAGCACGTTTAAGCTTGATCAGCTATTGTTAGAATTTATTTAATATTACTTTCTACTCCAGGATCTTTTTCTACGTAGCTGACGCTGGTAACTGTGCAGGGGCGGATCTAGCAAAGTTTAGCCAGGGGGGCCGATAGGGCACTAACAGGGAAAAGGGGGCACAAAGACATACTTTTCTTTCTTATTCTCATTTAAAATGTCTAGCTTTTAATAAATAATTATCTGACACCCAAAGTTTTAATTTGATGTAAAATGAATAGAAGTCAATTACTGTATATAGTAACTATTAAGTCTAATATATATACCCTAGTAAGCTATAGTACTTTTTCCTTTGGGAAGGTACCATCTGTGCAGTCTGCAATTTTGTTGAAGAAAGATGTTGAATCTATTTAATATTTCTTGAAAAAGAATTGATTTCTGTGCATTTTTTTTCACACTGCATCAAATTAAGGTTGATTACGTCGATTAAGCATCATGAGGTGGAGCGTGAGGGGTGGTTCCCTATTTTTTATTTATTTATTTTTGTTGTTGCTGGGAGTTGGAACCCTATTAGTTAGGTTGCTTAATATTTACGCTAAGTACTCTTTAAAATACCAGAATAGGGAGGATGGTGTAGGTTTAAGTTTATTAGATTGATCAGTATTGCTGAACTATGAAATATTTTTTTTTGCATACAGGTATAACAGAATAGCTTTAGTGTAGTTGTTGTTTTAAACTTGAGTATGAACTTATACAAAATGCAGCAAGATATTTAAAAAACAGTTTTGTTGATTAAAAAGCACTATATCGGATTCATATCGGTATCGGCAGATATCCAAATTTATGATATCGGTATCGGACATAAAAAAGTGGTATCGTGCCATCTTTATTTGGCATCAGTGCCAACCGCGAGCACGTGAGGTCGCTGTGAATCCTGCCTTCTTTTCCTGGTGTGTTTGTTATGGAGATACTAACATCTTCACTTCAGTGTCCCTCAAAATGAAGACGTCACACAGCTATCAGCCAGTTACTTTGAAGCTGCAGTGAAAATGACTCTGCAATCCTGTTGATTGGCTCATTTGGGACGGGGGGGTGTGTCACCTGGCAGCTTGTCTCTGGTCTCATTTCTGAAGTTATTCTGTGTTTGCTGTTTTCAGGGTCACTCACTGACCTGGAGAGCCCATGAACACCAGCTGACCTCCAGGGGTGCCGGCGTGTTGCTGCATGTGTCTGATAAATGCACACAGGGAGAACATGAGGAAGTACCTGCTGACGGTGGCTCACTTTAACTCATGCTTGATGCTGTGACAACATGACAGCAGCAAGCTCCTCCTACCAGAGGAAACAGTCTGAGCACAGAAAAGGGAAAAAAACAGTTTTCATCTGGACCAATGAAACGGCTTTAACCTGCTGAGCTCAGTCTGATGCACAGTGCCTGTATTTCACTGTTTGTCTTTCTGTCCTTTGCTTTGTGTTTTTAATGTATAAATGTTTACTTCTTCATCTCACAAATACCTCAAATATACTTGGACCAATAAAGTTTTACTTTAAAGTTGTGAATCACTTCCTGTTTTCATTCATGAGGAAAAAAAAAAGCTCCAACAAAAGTGTTGAGCAGCAGAAAGTCCCAATACTCTGTTCCTCCCTTTAAAATTTCCTGAAGTGCACAGCTGAAAATCAGAAGTAATAATAAAGGAGTTTTTAGTGGCATCAACTAGAATCTAGAACATACCATAAGCATTTCCAATAAAAATAAATACTTAACAAATGGTCATAATATTAATGGTTCAAAAAGAAAAACTTCATAATAAAAATAAATGTGAATTTATGTTCTGTGCTTCGGCTTTTTTATCTTACCACACATTTTGTTTTTGTCTGGAGTCTCAGGTCAGCATGAGCCACTAGCTCCTGCTGCTTTCTGCTTGTAGTAATACACAGGTACAGCAGGCAGGGGGCAGTATACTACACCTAATGTGTATTCACTTCATCTCGTGTTTCGAGCTGATTACATTTAATAATGAACTGGTTCTGATCGCATTGATCGAGTTTATAAAAAAGTTCAATCAGCTGTAAATAAATAAATACGTCATCAGTAAGAAATCCATGTTCCTCTCTCTCAGCTTTGTTTTTGCAGCTTTAGAATGTTTTAAATGACTCTCACGTGTTGCATTCATATTTGTGATCGTGTGAGTTATGAAGCTCCGAGTGTCCCAAAGGCTCGTCAGACTTGTTGCAGTTTAATTTCTTCTGTCTTAAAGACAACATTCGGGGAACAGCCTTCACCCCGCTGTGTGGACGGTGAGAGGACACAGAGGTCACCGTGGAACTGACTTTAAGAAATCTACTTGAGTCTGAGAGGGGTGGCCTGGTTACAGCACATCATCTTCCTCCTCTTCGTGTGGCTGGTCGTGGTCCAGCTGCAGGACCCCGCCCTCCTGCTGTCAGGACGGAAACACAACATGTGAGCAGAGCGGAGGAAAAGTCCAGGATCGTTCCTCGGACATAATTCTTTTTATTCCAGGACTTTACTTTGGGTGAGTTTTTGTCTTTTCTCTACTGATGTTTGTGTGGGAGTGTTCTCCCACAGCTGTGAGTCTGTAGGAGTGAGTGTTTTGTGGTGTTTTTGAGCAGAAGCTGCAGGTTTTGTGTGCTGTTCTCTCGGACAGTCCTTAAAGAAGATGACTTGTGCTTGTGTAATGTGAGCAGAGTGCTAACAGTGCGCAGCAGGTCCTGGAGGTTGGTGTGTGTGTCTGCAGACTGAAACTGGTTACATAACGTGAGTAGACATGGCATGTCCTCCTCCAGCAGCAGCTGTAAGCAGATGTTTCCTCTTTGGACTGAAACTTTACAGACATGTGACCATCAGCTCTGAGGTATACTGATGGCAGGAAAATGCATCATCAGAGCATTCTTCTCTGCTTGTGGTTTGGGATCTTTGAAATATTAAATGACTTATAATTAGTGATCATTATTCTACAGTGAGCCTGTGGAGTAAAATGTGTTTGGGGCCTCTGCTAACCTCCTCTGTCCTCCACAGCATGCTCACTATTACTACAGTCTGTATATAAAAGATGGAGATCTGACTAAAGCAGCTGTGACACTGTATGTAGATTTCTGATTGGTTGAAAATTTGGCTTTAACTGGGTGATGAGTGACAGCAGAGATCCTCACAATGAGGAAAAAGCACAAAACTAAACTACAAATCAAAAAGCAGCATTAGCCACTCAGACAGGGCCTCCGGTGGACAATGCCCCCTGGTGGCAGTTCACAGATACCATGTGTATCACAATCATATTTACACAAACAAGGAATGTGTCATGGTGCAATCAACAATAAAAAAAATCAACATCATCTTGTACTGTTTGAAGTTTGAAACTAGCGACTAATCAGGAAAGTGTTTGCAAATACTAACTACCAGCTGAACAGCAGTGAAACTTATAAAACTATAACACAGACTGGACATGAAGAAACTTCGCCTTCAAAGTAAAAGACGTGCCTCAGTTTCAAAAGGTGCAACTTCTACTTTAAAGAAACTATGGTTTGCGTTGTTTTCAGTTTATCTACAGATTGAAGAGCAGCTGGTTGGTATTTGAAGTTCATTTGTTAGCAGTCACATGAGGTTGTGGTGGTTTTTAGCTACCGGTGGTGCCAGAGAGTCACTGACCAAGGTGTTGGCCTGTGTGACTAACCTTTGTTATCCCATCAACCATCATCAGTTATCAACCTCCAGGAACTACTTAGTTTCATATACTAATAATTAGGGATGGGTACCAGTATTGGTTCTGACATAAACGGTAGTAACCAGACCGTAAAGCAGCGCACATTTCGGTGCTTTATTTCGGTGCATTTTTTTCCTGAGCTGTGATACACTTTAGATTCTAGCCAATCGTTTTACGTTTCCAAGGATAGTAGGCGGGCCCAGGTACATACGTTCTTTTAGAACAGAGCTACAGATTAAAAATGCCCAAGGCGAAGCGGTCAAAAGTCTGGCTGTACTTCACAGCAAAATATGCAAACTCAGCAGCAACAAGTGCTTTAAGCTGATACTGTGATACTGTGCAAAGGAGGTAACACCTCGAATCTGATGAAACACCTGGCGATGCATAACGGTTTTTTAAAAGCCGAGAAATGCACCGCATTTGATAGCTTGCTGCAAGACCTCACACCGAGCACATCTACTGCGGGTGTGGTGCCTGTTATCGGACCCTGAGTTAGCAACATCCCCCAAGAACCCGAAGAGTAGAGTCCTGGCCCCTAGCCCTGCCAGTGTAGCAGAGATGATGACGGATGATGATGGCAGCAGCAGCCGTTCTTCTCTGCTTGAGTAGCTTAATGTTGTTTGTGTGTAATTTACGTTGAGGAGGCTAACCACGTTATTAAATTAATGCATGTAAGGTGAACTAGCAAACACCGTCGTAGTTACATGCATCTGTCTTCTTGTTTGATGGCAGATACTCCTTTCACCCTGGCAAAAAAGGCTAAAATGACCAAAGAAAAAGTGGGAAACAGCTAAACATGAGAGGTTTAGGACAAAGTTTGTGTTTTTTCCATTGTTTAAGCACTGCTTCCAGCCAAGAGTGATGCCATATATGCCCTATAGCTGCAGAAAAGTCTACCATTGATATCTTTTTACAAAAAAAACAGCTGAACATGAGAGGTTTTTGGACCAATTTTGTGTTCTCCATTCTTTAAGCACCGGTTCGAGCACCGTTTGAGCACCGGCACCGTTTCAAAAGTACCGGTTTGGTACTGGTATCGGATAAAACCTAAACGATACCCATCCCTACTAATAATATAATATTATTATAATAATTTACCGGTCGATCTACATCCCTACCCTCACCTATGCTCACGAGCTGTGGATAGTGACAGAAAGAACGAGATCACAGATACAAGCAGTGGAAATGAGCTTCCTCCAAAGGGTGTCTGGCTTCTCCCTTGGAGATAGGGTGAGGAGTTCAGCCATCAGAGCAGAGCCGCTGCTCCTCCATATCGAAAGGAGCCAGTTGAGGTGTTGTGGCATCTGACAAAGATGCCTCCTGGGTGAGGTGTTTTAGGCATGCCTCACTGGAAGGAGGTCACGCTGGAGGGATTATATCTCTCGGCTGGCCTGGGAATGCCTTGGTGTTCCCCCGACAAGCTGAATGAGGTGGCAGGGGAGAGGGAGGTCTGGGCTTCTCTCCTTAGGCTGCTGCCCCCGCGACTTGGCTCCAGATAGACGTAAGAAGATGGATGGATGGATGGATGGATGGATGGATGGATGGATGGATGGATATATTTTATAGGAAATACTAATTTTTCCCTGGTGACTGGGTTGTTGGCAGCTGGTTGCAGATCAGTCTTTAGGCTCATATGACTGGAGCCTTTTTCACTTGATCCTAGATTGCCACATGTCAAAAATATCAAACAACATAACATGTGGTTAGTGATCGCTTCATGTGCAAAAACTCAGTATAGTCTGAATAGTTTTTATAACCAGGGAAGTTGCCCCCTGTAGGCCATTAAAAACAATGCAGGCAGATGGTCTTTACTTTTCAGATACAGAAGCACAGAATGCCACATATTTGCATTCTTCACATCGTTGGACTGATGTATCACTGCGGTCTGAGTCAAATGTCCTTTGTGTCCATGTCGGGGCCGTAATTAACATCAAAGCCGCTGTGGCGCATTAAGAAAGACTTATTACACTTATTTTATATGTCATAAAATTACCATCTTCTTCATGTGGCCTAAAACATATTGCACAAACTCTTCTTCATTAAATTCCTGATGATCCACAGCCTTTCTTCACTTGTTGTTTCCCCGAATTTCACAGCAGGAAACTGAGCGTGAAATCCAACAGCTGTCTATCTATCTATTAGGGGAAACCCTGTTAAATAAACCCCAGCAGGCCCCTGTGGTGGCTTTGTTGTGTGTGTGTGTGTGTGTGTGTGTGTGTGTGTGTGTGTGTGTGTGTGTGTGTGTGTGTGTGTGTGTGTGTGTGCGTGCGTGCGTACTATCCTGGTGGGGACCAAAATCTGACATTTACTATACTGGTGGGGACTTTCAGTGGGGACCACAATCCAGGTCCCCTCGGGGTTGAAAGCAATTTTCACACTCAAAATGTGGTTTTAGTGTCAGGCTTACAATTAGGTTATGGTTAGGTTTAGGGTAAGGGTTAAGGGCTAGGGAAAGCATTATGACAATGGGATGTCCCCACGAGGATAGCAAACCAGATGCGTGTGTGTGTGTGAGGCACAAACTAAAGAGCAGGCTCATTAAAGGGTAAGTGGCGTCCTGTAGTGCCCCCAAAACCTCCAGAGAGGAGAGTTCAGGACCTGAAAACCCACCGCGCGCGCGCGCACACACACACACACACACACACACACACACGCATATTCATGCTTTTGTCTTTTTGAGGCCCCTCATCAGTATAATGGATTTCTGGGGCCCATCCTGCTTGTAAACCTAAACTCTGAATCCAAAAGCTGCTTGGATCGCTCGCACATCATGCGTTTACGGCTGCAGACGGACATGCTGGGTCTCCATTGTGATCTCTCTTTCTGAAACAGCAGCAGACTATCAGCAGCATATTAAACAGAGCATCTCTCAAAAACATTTGAATAAAATCTCTGTAGAAAACTTTATTTACAACATACTTTGGCTGAACTGCATCTTCTTAAACTAAAAGGCACATTTACCTGTGCTGTTATTCACTGATCTTCAATATAGTCATTGTTAAACAATGAAATTGTGATGTCTTTTGTTTTTTTAAAAGCAGCAGCATCAACATAAGACCTCAGGTGCACACATTTCAGCAAGCTCAGGTATTCACAGTAGAGTCTTGCATGTGGTCCTGCACAGGTGAGCACCTGTGTGTTTGTGAGGAGTTCAAAGCTCAGCAGGTGTTCTTGTCAGGAAACTAAATTGGTATTTTTATTCTGAAGCAGGTACGCATGAAGGCTTTGGTTTGTGGGTGTAGTGTTGTAAAGTTTCTGAACACATGTTGGTGTATAACATGAATGTCACAGCTGTGATCATAAATGATGGGTCTTCCCCATCAGCAGCACCAAAGCTTCGACTCAGTTAAACTTCGACTCAGACATGGTGTTAGCTCAGATTCATCCTCAGTCACAGTTACACACACACACACTTGGGTTTAGTGATGACATCCAGTGGCCACAGGTATGCAGACATGTATATTATCACAAGTTCTAGCATTAAGATGAGCCCAAACTTTAAAATGGAGTGTTGAGAAGTTTTTGGCATGATGCACCCCGCACGTCTGCAGTCGGTCAAGCCAGACGTGATTAGTTTCACACATCAGTGAGTTTACACACTTCTTGTAGGAGTGTGAAGCAGATGAAGCTGTAAACAAACCCTGGCGCTGCGTGCTTCTCTGCCCTCCTGACGGAATGGCTGCTGGTGAGTTTCCTGCGCTGTCGCTGACCTGGTTTGTGGTTGTTTGTGTTGTAAGACGAGCGGCTCAGGTGGCAGCGCGGTGGCGGGGAAACGCCCCAGCGGGTCGAACACTGCAGCGCTCTGTCCAGAAAAC